TGAATGAATCAAAGATATGGATGGCGACCTTATGTAGAGAAACGTAAGACTAGGTTAGGTTCCAAACGCAGCACAAATATTTAAAGGCTGGATGAAAGCCAAGGACCTTGACAGGAAGTCTTGAGACTATTCCTTTGAATCATCCAAACGAAAAGGCTCTTTTGACCTAATTCAAGCACTAGCCCAAAAAACTTGCAAAACTTAAAAAAGAAGAGGAAGGGTACTTAAGTCATGCATTTCACCTAGGAGACTAAAAGGTCCAGAAGTCTCACTGCCATCTGTTTAATAAATAACACCTTTTTGTCACCTGATCCAGACACTTTTCACATGCCTAGGGTTCTAAAGGTATAACTAATAAAGTTTTGTATCAGAACCTACTTGCATATACAAAATTAAGAAGAAAACTCATGAAGCATTTACAGTGAGTTTATCCTGCATCAGCATTTGCAGGTGGCTTTCAGACATCACTTTGCTCAGGGGTCACAAAAAGACCAAAGTCACCTCACCAAAACTTACCTAGACACCATATTCAGGTTCCTGAATCCTAAACTACAACAGATACCAACATCTATAGCAGAGCAATCTGAAAACTGAGAATCTTTAAGCCACCTACCAGCCCCTGTATTGGTCAGCTCACTAAAGATCCCTGATACTGAGCAGCTCCAAATCATTGTACATAGAAGTTTTTGAATGCACTCAGCTATAAAGCACAAAAACATGTGCAGTGTTTTATTTCACACTCAGTTCTGATCACAACAGGCACCTAATGGTGTTATCATACCTAATTCTGCAGCGGATTTGATGTCGACATTGTCATAGCCACTGCCGATACGCACAATGACCCTGAGGGCTTTGAATTTCTCCAGATCCTGACGAGAAAGGGTAATGGTGTGATACATCAGAGCTCCTACTGCCTCATTCAGCACCTATAATAAAAACCAGTCCAAATCAATATCTAGTTTGGTTACCTAAAAGGCAAAGCTCTGCTTCTGAATCTTGCACATCTTCTTGCCTACCTTTTCATGGATTTCCTGAGTTGACTGAGCGTCACAAAATGCCACTGTAGCAACATCCTTCAAGATGGGCATCTCCACAGTACAATCTCGTCCATCCAGGAGTGCAACCAGTGGCCGTGCTGGCATTGGGCCATTCACAGTAGGAGGCCGTATGCCTATTCAGAAAGTCAGCTGGAGTGATTATATGAAAGACACGAATTCTGGGAGCCTCATCTGCTAGTCCAATAAGTTGCTAACAGTATTTAGGAATAGATTAGGCAAAGCAAAAGACACAAATAGAAAACAAACGCGGGGAAAAGACGTCGGGAAAAAAACCCACAACCACTCCTGCCACCACTTAGATGAGGGAAAATAAAGCATGTATTATCAATAGTAATATATTAGAGGTGATCTACTCAGCAACATGCCATCTTATTCCAGGTTCTTGAACCGAGTGACAAAGTCGCTTCACACCTCCTCCCCAGTGACCTGCTCCCCCTCCATCGCAGCACGCCCAGATAATATTTTCCCCTTAAGTGAGCAGAACTTGTACATCCACAGAGCCTCCGACAGTCATTAGCATCCGCTCCTTTCCTGAAGGCTGGAGGCAGCGCCTCGGCGGGCGGCGGGGCCGTGCTGGACTCCGGCCGGGCGGACGCTCTGTCCCACATAGGGCAAGTGCCGCTGCCGCCGCCGCCGCTGCCGAGGGGCGCCCGCCCCGCCTTACCTTCGCAGATCCGGTCCAGACGCTGCCGCTTCACTTTGTGCCGGTCCATGGGCCGGGCGGGTCTGCGCCGCCCTCGGCGCCGCGGAGGGACCCACGACCCGTCTCTNACCGCTGCTCCCCCCGGAGCCAGGCGGACGCGGAGCGCGTCCCGAGCGCGGCGTTCCCAGCCACTGCCCGGCTCTCCCGGCCGCCGGCTCCAGCTGTCCCGGGCACAGGCGGCGGGTAGGAATTCGCGATTTAAACAGGGAAAGGCGGCTGCTGCTTTGGCCCGAACGGGGAACCTCCGGTGTGGTTGTGGCCAAACTGGAGGGACGCTCTGGGGAGGGGACCGTCTACCCTGGAGGCGAGTCGAGAGGAGATGCCGGGAGCCGATCACTGAACGCTCCCGGACGGGCACAACGCGGGGATTCATTCATCTGAGCCGATCCTGGCTGCGCCGCGCTCTCGCTGGCTTCGCCCAGAGCAGTTTTTGATACCTATCCCCCTGCGTTCGCCCTCTGGAATGCTTAAGGCCCGTAGTTTTCCGAGACTAGGCTCGGTTTGCCAAGACCAATCCAAGGAACTCCTGCAGAGATGCAGCTGATTGTTCTACTAGGATTGAAATTATTCCTTTTTCCAGTCTTCAGGGCTGATGTGACTAGGAATAAGGAAATTAGAAACTGCTCTGAAACATTGCTAGTTTCTGTCTTGGGGTGCTTTGCACTCAGAAAAAGTTGCAGCTTTTTGACTGCTAAAAGACAGGCTGCTCCACTTAGACCACAGTAGCAACTGGAAGCCCCACGATTGCAAAAGATTTCCCATAATTTGCCATGTCCAAAAGCCAATGCTTTTCTGGTAACTGTGTTTAATAAAGGAAGGGCTTCCCTTCTGTAACTATTGTCTCTTTAAATAGCGTGGTGCACTAGGGACAACAAGATAGACATCTCTATGACAGGACATTGGAAAGGGGAGAATAAAGGTGTATTGTATTACCTATCCATTTTTTTCTAAGGCGTAAATAATCATAATGTGTTAATTGGTTATTACTTTTTTTGTAAACTACAGATGGGATTCCCATATACATACATCTTTAAGATGTTCTGCAACCTAAACCTATGTCTAAACCACAGATCTAAAAAAGAATTAGCTTTCTCATTCTTTCATGCTGTTACTGAACTACTAAGTCAAGATTTAAAAAAAAAATGAAATAACTTGCCAAACTTCAGGGCTTTCAACAATGCACAGCTAGTAAATGATGTCTATAGAGAAGGACTATTTTAAAGTTGAGGTTTAGAGCAGCTTCACCTGAACCCACTTTGCTGCATACAAAGCATTCCTGATGAGAGGAGTTTGAAAAGTCATCAAGTCTCTATGTAAGAGCCAGGTGAACTACAGAGTACAGTAAGTTGCTAGAAGAACAAAGAAAGTTGTACAAATGAGACAGAGGTACCTAGATAATATTACTGGGCTGTAGGAAAAGTAGAAACTTCGAGAAGCAGGCTGGCATGGAATTATGCATTCTACTGCTTACAGCAAATAAACTGATGAAGCTTGCAGAAATGAAGTGAGAGAACAAATTACAGGGGGAAGATGGTAGACTGGGAAATATGAGTACCAAGATTTCCCCCTAATTTATAGTGATGGCAGATTGAAATAGTACTACTGCACCTGCTGAAGAAGAGAATGATAGGTAAGATGATGTACCCAAAGAACACTAAGGTAGATGTAAGGCTCAGCACAGTCATTTCCTAAAGCCAGGCAAAGAATATTGACCTGAAGGGAAGAAACATACCAGGCTATATATAAATCTTACTAGGAAACTGTCTTGTTTCAAGGCTTCATTGTACTTGTACTGTAAACATATGTTCATATACAGCAGAAATGAAGAAAGATTACAGACTGAATTCACCTACCCATGACAACATAATCATAAAATTATAGAAGGACTTGGACAGGAAGGGACCTTAAAGATCATCTTGACCTAAGCCCTCTGCCATGGACAGGGACACCCTCCACTAGACCAGGTTGCCCCAGGTCCCATCCAACCTGGCCTTGGGCACTTCCAGGGATGCGGCAGCTATAGCTACTCTGGGCAACCTGTGCCAGGCCCTTATCACCCTTTAAGTAAAGAACTCCTTCCTAACAGCTAATCTAAATCTTGCCGTTTTATTTTAAAACTGTTCCCCCTTGTCCTATCACTGTCTGCCTATATAACAAGTTGCTATCTCTCCCTTTTTATAAGCCCCCTTTAAGTACTGGAAGGGGGCCCATTGGAGGTCTCCCTGGAACCTTCTCCAGGCTGAATAACACCAGCTCTCTCAACCTGTCTCAGAGCGGGAGGTGCTTCAGCCCTCGGAGCCTCCTCTGGACCCATGCTAACACGTTAATGACCTTCCTGTGCTGAGGGCCCCTGGGCTGGATGCAGCACTGCAGGTGGGGTCGCACGAGACAAGAACCTACTCCCTTGATCTGCTGGTCATGATGATCTTGATGCAGCTCAGGACATACTTTTTGGGCTGCAAGTGCACATGACCAGCTCACCTCTGAGAACCCCCAAGGCCTTCTTTGGAGGGCTGCTCTGAATTGGTTCATCTCCCAGTCTGGACTTGGGTCTGGGAATGGCCTGACCCAGGTGCAGCACCTGTACTTGGACTTGTTGAACTTCATGAGGTTCTTATGCGCCAAGCCTTCATCTGCATTTTTGGCAGGGATTTTAGGGACTGGGTTCTACGTCCTTTAATTGACTGCATATCAAGCCCTTCTGTATGAAGCCACTGACATCCTTTGTTAAGAATTCGTTTTATTATGCAAAGAATACACATTCTTAAGTCTTCAGGCTCATTCAAGTGGTTGTTTTTATACCCTATAAATGATTTTCTCAGTACATCTCCTAATGACCAGCATCTACTTTAGTAACTGCAGCAGCACTGACTCACAGTACACAATATGGTGTTACTATGTACTTACTGCACTGTGGTTTTCAGTGCCCAGATAGAAGAACTTCTTCAAGCAGGCCTCAGCAACCCCAAGGTTTCACAGGGATTTACTAGTCCCTAAAATACAGAGCAATCCCTGATCCTGGCCAAGCTGAACAAAATTATTTTGGAGCCTTTTATTTAATCTTTTGTTCCCTTTTTCATTTATACTCTCCTTTTTTTTTTCTAAATGGAAACAGCTCTTGCTCCTTAACTACTCCATGTGAAAGATCCCCACAAGTTCTGTTTCTTGCAAGGGGTCCTTGTTGAAGACAGCATCCCTGCAGAACAATGACAAGGAGCTTGTGTGGCATTCATCTTGACTGGCATCCTAACAGTCTTTTCTCTACTTGATCAGGAGACCTCATGACTCTGCCCAGCAGTGACTGTGTCATGGCAGAGCAGCTGTGCCTCTCAGACTCCACCTGCAATGCCACATACAGGATTCTGGAAAACTGTGCCCTGGCCAAGACTCGCCTCCTTTCACTGGATCATGACAGCAGGGTCAGATGTCTGAATGCAGAGCTTGACCTTGGGAACAGCTCTTTGCTGCACTGCAAGTGTCACCGGCGCATGAAGAGACAGGAGCACTGCTTACGCATTTTCTGGACTGTTCACTCCAGCATGACAGATGGTGAGATGAAGTAATAAAAATTTACAAGTTACTAGTAAGGCTTACCTCCAACCCTCTAGCTGAAAACAACCATGAAAGTCCACTTTCCAGCACTGTAGGGAACCGTATCTTCTAGGAGAGAGAATTCATTACTGCTCTGTTTGATAAGCAGAGAAAACTAATCTGGTATGGGACCTGTCCTTCAAATACACCAGCAACCCCAAGAGGCAAAGACAGCTACACTGAGATAGTTAGATTTAGTGCTGTGAAAAATACCTCAAAATGGTCCTGTCTGTCCATCACTGAAAATGCATGCGATTATGACACTTATTGCCATGGCATCCCTAAGTGTTCTGCTGCTTTCTTTTGTGGGATGCTTCTCCTTGACCTCCCACTAGAGCCTGCCTATGCTGCTCAGCTCCTCACACTTACTGAAGCTGAAAAATCCAAATGACAACACAGACCAGTTTCAAGCTGGACAAAATGTAATGAGGGTTTTACACAGTAATAGCTTCTCATTTCCAAAAGAACCATTCTTGGCATTTGGCTTTGAGTGAAACAGAGCATTTCTGAACTCCAGCCTGAGAAAAGAACCAGACATAAATAAGAAAAAAATATCCATTTAAGAACAAACAAACAAATAAATAAAGCTGGTCACAGAGCATTTCTCCCATCTCCCACCGCATTAATTATCTTGTATCTTGCCTAGGTTATTTCAATTTGGAGACCTCTCCCTATGAGAATCCAGCAAATGAAGAACGCTGGAAGACAGATTATAATAAATTGGCAGCTCTGGTATCAGGTAAGAATTGTAATGGTTACATGATATAATGCTGCCCTCTCTTATCTTTTCATGGGTTGAAGATTATTAAGAACAATTTGGGGTAATGGCCCCTTTAATCAGAGGAATGCCTGCTCTGGCTACTTGCCTAAATTTTTCACTCCTACCAAGTGTAAATATAGTCACAGACACAGGCCCGTGAAACCAGTAATAACCCATGATCCATTTTCTGAAACAAGCACCCTACTATGAACAAATAAAAAAATACTCTTTTGTAACTAGTGTAATTACAGTGTCATACTGCAGGCACATAGAAGGACCGGTTTTTGTTCTTTTTAATTTTCCAAATCTGACCATCAAGAAAGAAGTACTCCTGCTTCCATACAGAATCTCTTCTGGAGACTTGCTTCATGGTTTTTGTGGGTTTTTTTGGCTTTATAGGTTCACAGTTAGCAGGAGATGCAACAAATCCATGTCTGAGAGCAACACATGTCTGTAATTTGAGCAAGAAGTGTTTTCGACTGCGCACAGACTATGCCTCCATCTGCACCAAGGGAGCAGGAAGTGAGGATGTGTGTGACCGGCGCAAGTGCCACAGAGGGCTAAGGAATTTCTTTGAAAAAGTTCCTGAGGATTTCACCAAAAGGATTCTGTTCTGTCCATGTCAAGATGAATTTTGTGGAGAAAGACGTCGTAAAACTATTGTTCCTGATTGTTCCTTCCAGTATAACACTAAACCAAATTGCCTCTGGCTTCTGGACTCCTGCTTAGAAGACCATATCTGCAAGTAGGTGAGGTAGCAGAGGATATTATCCAATAGAGCAGCATCAACACTGATGGTCTCATTTTCCTTCCTACAGATCCCGACTAGCTGACTTCCAACAAAATTGTCAACCTGTAGATGTGTCTCCGGATGGCTGCTCTGTGCACAACCATGCTGCATGCCTGCAGGCTTACATGGGCATGATTGGTAAGTGATGTCCCCAGGAACATACAGAGTGGATGCTTTCAGGCCACAAACTTGAAGGCACTCTTTGATGCTGTGAAGGACGGTCCTGGTCTCCTTCAGGAGGTAGTGCTCAGTATACCAGTGAATATGCCTTACTAATTGATGCTAGTGCTCTCCTTTGCCTTGGAAGTAAATGCAGTCCAAAGAGAGTGCTTCCATGGCTTTTTTTGCTGTACTTTGCCCCATCATTGCCTGAGATTTCTGGAATCCTCTTTGCATCATCAGCTAGTGCAAAGCACTCTAAGTGCCTCATCAACAGCACTCTGTGGGTTTGTGTGAACTGTCATTGTCATTCCTAATGCTGGAGTTACATGCCATCATCAGTGATTAAACACAGCATTCCATCATTGCCTGACTTTTAGACTCCTGATGACTTAGTTTTGTGTGCACTATGTTCTCACAGCCAGAACATAGGACTACCAGCTGTTAGAAGGAAGGTCACCTTTGGTTTTAGTTATTTTCTATCTACCAACTTACTAAAACATTTTCAGAGTGGCTCAAAAGAGGATGTAAAGAGTAGAAGTACCTCAGAAGCTGTAAATCTAGACTGTACCTTCCATTTTTCCAGATGGCTCTGCTGGTTTATTGCTACATGAACACCGCCTGACTAACACTACAGGTGTGCAGCATTTGTTTGTCAAAAGGCACCTGGCTACACAGCGTTGCCAGCTATGCAAGAAGCAAGATTACCTTTTGCTGCTATATATCAGTACCACAGCTGAGTCCACACAAGTCCTTCACATTCTAAAATAAAAATCCTTCACAATTTAATGCTTGCACCATTAAATTGCTTTCCCCCCATCAGTTTGCACTGAGCTCTGCAGATACAGTTCTCACCATTGCTTCTGCTGTGTACACATCACAATTTAATACTTGAGCCAACTTCAGTTCTCAATACATCTCACTGAGTGCCTGAGTCAGGAGTAGTAATCTCAACACTTTCTCACAGCTCAGCAGACTTCAGTTAGGTTCATCAAGCCTGGGCAACCTAGCTGACACTCCTGGCCTCGCCTGGGTAACATGCTTATCGCAGTAGAAGGCTTCTGCCTCCAGGGCAGTATTTCCTTTAGTACAACATGATTCATAATGCTTCTTTCATCTGGGGGTTTGGGACAGGCACACCCATGACACCCAACTATGTCAGTAACTCCAGTGTGGCGGTCTCCTTGTGGTGTACATGTGAGAACAGCGGCAACCAGAAGGAGAAGTGTGACCAGCTACTCAGCATGTTTGAGAGCAACAAATGCCTTGGTAAGCATCAGTCACATCACAGAGAAACATCTCAGCAGAGAGCAATTTAAATCCTGCGGTTTCAAGATCCTGTGTTGCAGTGCTCTTGTGTATAGTTCTATCTTCTGCAATGTCTCTGTGATCTCCTCTGCAACCTATGGGACCAGACAGGATCTGCTCTAAGTACTGTTTCTGTATCTTTTGGCAACATCTCTGTTCATCTCAAACACACTTGAAGCTATTTCCAAACATCATTCAAATGAAGGGGACTGCAAAAACATCACCAAGGCGAGGTCAGACATGCTGTATCCATAGGTTGCTGAGTAACCACATCTGTGCACCAGGATTATGGGGTCAGGATTCCCCCCCTCATCCTCTGTATCTGTATTCATCCCCGGCCCTCAGTCAAGATAAGTAGCTCCTGATGCAGCCTGTTGCTAGATTCAGTATAGCAGTTGCAAAAATTCTGTTACACGCAACTGTGTAATCCTAACTCTGTATTTCTTTTATCCCCCTAGCATTTTAGCAACATACCTTAATGAGATTTAAATATTTTATATTTGTAAAAGCTTTAACAGGATATAAAAGAAAACAGCATAATTACATAAGTAATTAATATTTAAACCTACCTCCTGCAGTATATAAAAGCCTTACACCCAGCACTATAGACACATCTACAATTTAATCATCTCATCTGAGATACTACAAACCTGCCCCTTACAAAATATAGAGTTGGGAAAATCACAGAGGAACCCAAAGGTCTTCAAGTACAGTTCAAACTGTTTTTGCAGTCTGCTCTATCTCACAAATAAACCCACAAACTGACAGGCCATTTATGAAACAGAATAAGTATTTTCAAAATCAAGGCCAAACAGCCTGTGAGAGCCTTTCCTAAAGTAGCTTCCCTAGACTTCTGTTCACTAAACTCCAAGGTGTGCACAAGAAAAGCACTGTAAGACTCTTACTTTACTTCTGTTTGCAGAAAGTACCATTTGGTCTCAAATGCACTTGAAGCAGACAGCTCTAGAAAGACAGGAAGACTTACTTTATTCATCTTCCCTAAGCTTCCAAGGAGACAGTGCCAGCACATCTCTCTCTTCAGCAATGTCCCAGGTACGCAATGCTTTGTTGCCTTCACGAAGCAGTGGGTCAAGTAGCCTAGAGACAGTAGTTGAAAAACCTTGGATCTGGAAATATGTGGCTTTTGATATCAAACCAATGGATGCCACGTGCATGCAGAACATGGACTACTCTACCGTAAGTTACTCCTTCCACAGATAAGCAGAAATAGAAGGCTTTATGTCTGGCCACAGGAGTTTCAACAGTCACACATTAGTGCTCAGAACTAGAGGTTCCGCAGCCAGAAGTTTGAGCAAAATGTGTCTAACTGGGATTCATCCCTCCTTTTTATTTCCTAGGTGGCTGAAGGGAAGACACAGCAAGACAGCCCCAAACAGGGCAGTATGCCTATGGCCTCCTCTGTCTATTCTGGAACTGCTACTTCCTGGCCTTCTCTGGCTCTGTTCCTGCCCCTGTTGCTGAGCCCACATTAATGTGGCATAAATGGAATATTTTCTTCCAATATTATTAATATTGTTCCATATCCAGGCATGTCCCAGTACAAATTTACCTTTGGGAAACAGAAAGCTTTCAGACAAGAAGAATGGCCTTAACCCAGAATGGCAGTCACTGGAAACCTGCCACATATTTGCACCCTGCTTTCCCCCTGTCAATTTGCACTGAGCTCTGCAGGTACGGTTCTGCTTCTTCTGTGCGCATATTTTGAATAACAGGCTAATGTTCCAACTTAATAGGTTCAATCAAAGGTCTGATTTCTTTCAGATCTTGTGCAGGGTTTGGTTTCTGACTCTAGTGATGACCTGACAATGTCTTCAACCACCCCACCGTCTAGAGCTCCTCCTCAGGCAATCATTGCATGGTTTGGGTTTGAAGGGAACTTAGAAAATCATTTAGCTACAACATCCCATGCGTGGGCAGGGACCACCTTCCACTAGACCAGGTTGCTACAAACCCCATTCAACCTGGCCTTGAACACTTGAAGGAATGGGGCAAGCACAGCTTCTCTGGACAATCTGTGCCAGTGCCTCACCACCCTCACAGGGAGTGATTTTTTCCTAATATTCAATCTAAACACACTGTCTTTCAGTTTAAAACCATTGCTCCATATCCTGTCCCTAGAGGCCCTGGTAAAAAGTCTCTCTCTGTGCTTATCATCCCCCCTGATGTATTGAAAAGCCACAGCAAGGTCTCCACAGAGCCTTCTCTTCTCCAGGCCAAACTGCATCAATGGTGTCAGCCTTTCTTCATAGGAGAGGAGTTGCAGCCCTCTCCTAATTTTCATGGCCTCATCTGAACCTGCTTGAACAGGTCCATGTCTGTCATGTACTGGGCACCCCAGAGTTGAATGCTGAACTCTGGGTGCGGAGGTGGGGTGGGGTAGAGGGGAAGAATCACCTCTCAGCCTGCTGGCCATGCTTCTTCTTTTTATGTAGCCCAGACTGCAGGACGGCTTTCTGGGCTGCAAGTGTATTTTACTGTCTCATGTCTAGTTTTCCATCTATATCTTCCATGTATCCAAGTCCTTTCCTGCAGGCCTGCTCTCAATCCATTCACTCCCCCACTCTGTACTGGTACTGGGAGTTGTCCCAAACCAGGTGTGGCACCTTGCACTTGGACTTGCTGCATTTAATGAGTTTTGCTGGTGTCCACTTCTCAAGCCTATGAAGGCATAGAGTAGACCATATCATCCTAAAGACCAGAAGCCTGTGCTTCAGGGTGGGTTGCAAATAATGCTCAATAAACATACATGTGAAGTCCCTGAGAAACACCACCTCTGAATTACTTTCAGCTCCCTTTTCAAATCCCTTCTTTTAAATATATGAAAAATACCTGTCCAGATCAAGAACACTACACTAGAATTTATGCTCTGTTCTGTTTTGTCCCTTCAACATATACATAATCCATTATAGCAGCTAGCAACACACTTGGGCTTTGTTGTCCAAGATGAATGGTGCTCAACTTCAGTAGATTTAGGCTTATCTAGCAAAAGATGATCTTGCTGGCTTCAGGACAAACGTTCTCTGTAGAGAGTGCATTTGGCTCATTGAAGGTGCATTGACCACAAAACCCTGGGATATTCAGTTGCAACAATCTCCTTCTACCTGTCCACATATTCAAGTTACCATTGTCCCCTTCCAGCCACCTGCCTCGTCTTCCTCCTCGGCCAAGCACTATTTCATGACCTGTTTATTCTGAATGTAAATGTGTGCGCTGTGTAATTGCTGTTAGTTTGTACTGCATTTGTCTGTTAAAACGTAGTGTTAAGTGAATATTGATTCCTGAGCATAGGTTAACAGTCTGAAATCAATTGTGTACAAGAGTTGCCTCATCAGCCAGCCTGCATTTTCAAATAGTCAGAAACTCAGCTCAAAACAGCTCCTCCACGCACACATGTAGTGCCCATTGCTCATCCTGATAGGCAACAGATCTGCACAATACTATACACATCCAAACAAGATTACAAGCCTGAACAGAGGCAGAATAGCCGAGTATTTATTTTTATCCTGTGTTTTATCTACTGCCTGGGGAACACTGGCTAGGTAGTATGCTGTGGTTCCCAGTCACTGACAGACACCTTATTACAGGCATCATACTGTGTATCAAAGTTATTATCCTCTGCAGTGGTAATATTTACATTTCCAATTCCAGACCTCTGTTTATTTCCTATGCAGGTAGAGCAAAGAAATCATGCATGCAGCAGCATCATCTCCTTGTCACACAGAGAAGCAATGTATTATTTACATGCAGTAGGAACAAATATGTCTTAATAAATACCAATACTTGTATTTCTTATTACCAACGGAAATATGACTATTTGGAGCAAGAGACAGCACTGTTTCCACGTTTGCTACCATTAGTTAATAAAAACAGAGCCCATGTAACCCTAACATAGTATCTACATTAGACTATCCTCCTCCATACGATGGGATTTAGAAATGTGTCAAAAACCTTGACTGTAATGTAATATCACCTATCATCTCTGGAAGTTAATGTAGAGTGACAGGGAAGAAGAAAGTGTTCTTCTTTCCACTATTTCACACAACAGAGGGAATATTTGTGAGAATAATGGAGTAGATTTCTGAGTGATCTGTACCACGCACACTGGTACACAATGTACTGCATTGATCTTCCGCTCATCTGCATTGTGATCTTTCCTCATTCCCAAATTTAGCGGTGTAAGACAGATTGATCTAGAAAAAGGGATTAACATTTTCTTGTTCATGTTTAGGGCACTAAATCCCTACTAAGAAGGTTATTGATTGCAATTGCAGTCTTCTGTCATATCCTGACTTGTTCAGGAAAATTCTTGACACTTGGGCAAATTGTGCTCTAGATTGAAATTGAAGCAAAACACGTCAATTTGTTTGGTCGTTTCCCAAGTGCTCTGTGTCTCTTTTTCATGCACCTTTATATACACAGCTGCCTCTCAGCTTGTTCATCAATACCTGCAAGCAAAAATCACTTCTAACTACACCTTTATTCACAGGTACTCACACTGTTGTATGTACAAACCCATTTTCACTTAGACTTTTCTAACACCTGATCTCCAAATATCATAGTTTTCCAACTACATAGCATATATGCATGCACAGCCTAACAGCTACTGGAAATGTCATGCCAGTGTCACTATCAATTCAGTTCTGTTAGCACCACCAATGTTCCAAGACTGGCACATTTCCTAAACCCATTCAGAACAGCTTACTAACCATATGACAGGGCAATTAACAAGCCCCCCTCAGCTTATTTTCCTGGAAAGTGGAAAACAACATCCTGTGAGCACCTGTGGTCTCACAAAAGATAATCCACATAACACAAAAAATTATCCAATAAAAATTCTCATCCAGACAGTCTTAACAATGAGCATTCAGCAAGCATATACAAGGAAGGAACCTTCTAATTATTGTAATGTAGATTATTTTTTAAAGAGTAAAATAATGTGAGGTCTGACTAATAAAATTCATCTTGCAACTCTAGACGTCTCCTGCCTTCCTTTGCATTTCATACAAGCTACACTCCTTGTCTCCACTGCTGGGGTCATTATGGAACAGAAATGTAAAGAACAGAATTTAGAATCTCTTACAAAGCAATCTTGACAACTTTTACAGATATCACTCATGGTCAGGTACTTCAGATGTGGCTTCTAGAACTCTGATAGAGCCTTAGAACTTTTAATACGATCTAATGTAGCATTTACAAAGGGCATTCATGTAGTCCTCCAGTTGTGAGCTCAGCCACCTGTTAGACACTGGTTTCTTGTGACATGTGGGAGAAGCAATTTACATTTCTTGCCCAAGGTCATAAGCAAGATGCTGCCAGAGATAAACCTTGATTTTGCAAGTCCAAAATTAGTGTCTTTGCATCATTCCTACTGCCTCCAAGAAATGCCTATGTTTTAATAAGAATCAAGTGGCTGCAGTTTTTCTTTTGGAAGGGGGAACAATATGTTATTGCAGATGATAAAAACTCAAGCACCGTTGGTTTCAAACAGTGATTCCTGGCTACAGATCCCTGGTACACCTCTCAAAATCAGCTGACAATAAAACGGAACTTTCAGTTGATTGGAAAGGCATACAGGTTCAGCATCTATAAAGAATGAAAGTATCTTTTTCAATACATCCTAAAAATCATGTCACTCTATTTGCCAAAATGGTAGGCAACTTTACACAAGAATAAAAAGGAGAATTGTCAAAGTAATCTTTGAGGTGTCCATGAACCAGACAAAGCTTTTGGGTCAACAGCAAAGAAATGAAGCCAATCAGCTCTGCTGAGCTCCACAGGATCGTTCAGCACTGCTGTGGAATCACAACCCACAGCTATTCCACAGCTGCTTCCCCCAGTGAAACAGATCCTGGTAAATACAATCAGAGGCTAATCACTTCTACCCCAGGGACTTTGTGGCTGAACGTTTTTTCATTTGAGGCAGAGTCAGTTGAGGCTGAGCTTGGTTAGTCTCTAATGGAAGCTCTTCTGATAGGTGATTAGCTCTCCTCCAGGAAGTGACTTGATGTTTGTGTTTCTTGCAAACCCCAGGGTTAGCAGAGGTCAGGGGATGCTGCACTTTCTCCAAGTGCCTCCATGAAAATAGCCCCACATACTTTCCATTTACAGCTGATCACCTCCATTATCCCCAAGCTCGGAGGAGATGATCAGCAATTGTTAAGTGCTTGAATCAGACAAATATCTCACTGCTAATTCCCCCAGTAATGGGAATCTAAATTCCTGGTAAACAAACGGACTACTTTTCACAGGCAGGGATGAATGCCAAAAGCCTAATATTAGAGCTTTGGAACTAAAGCTTTTAGAGCAATCTTGTCCACTCGAAGACGTTTAATGACATTATGTATTGAATAATTAGAAAATGAAGGCCTGCTTGGAATCAATGGGTTACTGTCTATTAAGATGACAAAGGGGCTGTACCCTTTTTTAAACAAGTTTATACTAAAATGGTGTACCTGATAAATGGGTCTGATAACTACGTCTTTACCTTTGGGCAGAACAAACAGACATTAAGCTTGCACAAAAAAATTGTGTGACTTTTGGCTCATCTTTCTTCCCATTGGTCCCACCTGTTTTCCTGTAAGGCATGTGAATCAGATGTTCCTCTCCCCATCAGATGACAAAATTTATTAAGCAATGCTCAAATTACTTACTCTGATGGAGAGAAAATCATCTTTGCCTTTGCTTTACTGCATGGCCAGAATCACAGAGTTCACACCATGAGATACTTGAAGAGCTAAGAGGTATGGACTAGACCCTTTAGAAGCACTTTGCAAGAAGAATTGCTACTGGGCCTGAGAACACAAGAGAAG